GATGACTTGCTCTGCCGTCGTGTCGCTTACAGTGTTGATATCTCGATCCCAGATCTCCAAATTTTCCGCAGAATAGAGCAGCTTGTTAATTAAAAAAGTAAAGAGGGTAAACGAATACCTTGATAATTACAAATCGTCTATTACTAATATCCTTCTGTCAACGAAGAACTACCTTGGATTCAGTTAACTTGTATTTGTGAGTAGTAGTCAACCACTGTCCGGTCGATCTGTCACAGATGCGATGCACTACGGGAGGTGGAGCACAACACCGTCGTTTGAAGGTTCTCAGGCGTTTTACGCACTTGCAGTTCTGTACCGCTTGCTCTTCAACCGTGATTGTCTCTTCGCAGAGTTCCGTGGAATTAGATGATAATGATGGTCGTGTCTTTACACACGCTGAAGTCCCAACGATGCGTGTTGCCTGGTCACAACCTGAAAATAGCCAATAACGACTGAGATCCCTCCAACAGGAGCGATCAGCGAGAACAAAGGGAAGCGGGAGTTTAATTGCTTACGGATTTCCCTGTTGATTATCTGGTGGTTCGGCATGCAGCGGTCTCCAATCCGATGGAATACCAATCTCTCGACGATCAGCTTCGAGTGGTCTTCGCACACCTCCACGGTCTGTGGTTTCTGGCAGGAACAAAGTGAGTGCAGGATCTTCTGACGCGGAACGCAACGACAATTTTCAACTTCTTGCCACCGCCTAATTTCCGCTCGGTAAAGGCCGCCTTTCATCTCCACAGAGCACCCAGTCCCGGGGTTCACGATTTCCTCGTTTCGGGGGCAGTCTAGAGAGAGGGGGGAAATTTAAGACCTCTTGGATAACTATGCATTATAGGGATCAGCATGGAAGCCCAAAACCCCAGAAGTCTGTTATATGGGACCGGAGGTAGTAGGAGTTATACCGGTGGGGCAGTACGGAGGCACAGGAGAATAAACTATGGCAAAAGTGACGGGAAATTAGTGAATAAAATTACGATTTCAAGTTAAAATATTGCAATGAACTAGCGCTCGGTAAGTAAAGGATAAACAAAAAATGATTTGCGAAAAATAATAATGATAAGTTGGGCTCCAATCGAATGCGAGGGGTCGAAAAATTCAAAGCGAAACCAATCCGATGGTGGTCAACTTTGTCGAACGCTAAACGGATCCGAAAAATCGAATGTAGTTTTTCAACCGAACAGTCGGTACCTTACTTCCTTAAAAAATCTCCGCAAACCGTATATGTAAAGTAACGTTTGGAAGACTATTAATAGTATTTAGAATATACTGTGAATATAAAGCGCGATAAAACTCCTCACTGCATAATGATAGAAAAATAGGTTTCTGCTTCTGTGCATTTCCATCACTAAAGATGTCCGTGGGGGGAGATGCAATATAATATGTGCATGAGCTATGCCAGTGTTTATGGTGGGTAAAACAGCCGACGCCAAAGTAGTGTGAAAAAGCATACTTACTATTACGAAATAAGTAGGCAGTTATACAAAATAAACAAGGGCATGGCAATCCTTGCTGCCGCCTCTTCAGAACAGCAGACACCTACCGATGGGCTCCGTTTTTTGAGATGCCTTGATGGTGCAGTGACGGTCACCGGGAAGCGAGGAGAATTCTCCAATGGATACTATGAGGGCATTCCCAGCGCAGGCAACTCTCATGAAGTTCTTCTTTTCACAGTCTACAAGGCAGGACAATCTCAGGTCAGAGGCCGCACGCACAAACAGAAGTGTGGAGACACCTGTTACAGATAACTCTTTTTTCCAGCACACTAACCGCAGGCTTCCGTCCGAGTCTCCTGTCTGACAAGACAGGAACAGGTGGCCGGATCAAGTACGGGGCGGAACGTGGTCACATTGCGCCGGTTTTGCTGGCAGTCCGTAGCAATGACTTTTGCCGCGGCCGACACGGGACAGGTCACTGGTATCCTGGTAACTTCATCTTCTCGAATGCACGTCAGGCGACCACCATCACGTTCGGCTAGACGGAACGTGGTGGTACGAAGCTCCAGCCTACCACCACCGAC